AACGAAGTTACTACCACTGAAGACGTGCGTGTCGTCGTACGTACGAAGAAAGAACTACTACACCTACGTCCTACCTCTCTCTCTCTCTCTCTCTCTCTCTCTCTCTCTCTCTCTAATGTCTAATTAAATTTTAAAAAAACATTCTCTCTCTCTCTCACCTCTAATTAACCTTTTAGAAATCATAAAAAAATAGGAAAACCACTTAAAGACAACAAATAAAAATTTGATTAAATTTCGTTTGCATTGAACTTAGCCAAAATATAGAGCAAGAGCTAACGAAAAAAGTCCCATAGCTATCGGTAAAAGCAAAATAAAAAGCGTAAAAAAAAATAACATTTTAATTATTATTAATGATTGAATTTAAAAAAATATTGAAAAATCGTGATATTGAATGTAAAATTAAGTGGCTTTAAATTTTTTTTTCAAATTTTGTGGCATATTCAAATTATCTTCACATCAAATGGTTGTAAAAAAAAAAAAAAGATAAATGATCTCATTGTATACTATCCCTATGTTCAAAAGAATTGGATGAATTACTTAGAAATAGAAAATGAATTTTAAAAAAGTTAAAAAGGCGGATATAGTTTTTTTTTAAAAAAGAAAAAGTCAGAGCTAATGGGGCTTGACTTTGAAAATTTCAAAGTTACAGCACAATGTATACATTGGTACAGTGATTAAGAGGTCCAGTTTCCTGTTTTCATTTGAAGATGGAAAATTCAAAGCAATTCCTGGTAAAATAAAAATAAAAATATATTAAAAAAAAGAAAACCTATTTCCAATTCCAATGTAAAAGATAGGGTTTTGTAATTTTTAGATGTACAGTTATAGTGAAAAAAAGTACAAATCCATACAAGACATATGTTTGCCCTACTATCCAGCAATTCACCATTTGATATGAGATCTGACGTCTCAAAGTATTTTATTTTTAGAGTTTTTTTATATAAATTGTATGAATATGAAATTTGGTCGGTGCGATCTACTCATTGGGGGTGCGATCTACTCATTGGGGCGCACATATAGCTAAAAATAATTTTTGATAAAATACAATAACCAAAATACCCTTTGAAACTTTTAAAGGTATTTTGATCATTCTAGTTTATTGATAATATTTTTTTTTAATCTTCTACGCTAGTGCGTCCAAAATTCGGTGTAAAAATAGTTTATAAAAAAATTAAAAATAAAATAGTATAAAGTTGTGAGATTGTGATTGTGGCAATCCTCACCGTTGGACAAGGAAAAAGGTATGTAAGTTTGATGCTTACCCAAAAGAAAAATCCATAAAAGAAAACATTAAAATAACAAAAAATAAGAAAAATAAGAAAATTTTCATAAATTTTGTTTTTCCATAGTTATATAAATCGAGAAAACATTTATTAAAAAATTCGCCCAAAATCAAATTTACCTGATAAAAATTGCTAAAATTCCACCATTTAAAATCCCATAAAATGCTAAAATAGCATTATTTAAAATCCCATAAAATGCTAAAATAGCAAGTAAATTCATGAAAAAAGGGCTTTCAGTTAAATTAACTGAATCTATGAACTGAAGAAACCATCTCTTTCAAAATTATTAAGTTACCAGTGAAATCACCATACTACCCTGCAATAAGAAAAATGAGAACTCATTTCTGAGCCTTTGAAAGTATAGAAAGCACCACAACCAACCGTATGTTAATCTTATAAGCTCCAAAATAGTAGATTCATCCTCATTTTTAAATTCAAATGCTATTCAAATAGGGTTTCACTCTGAATTTCTCAATTAGAGGGAAAATTAAGTTCACTGAAAATGATAAGAAATACAAGAAACTGGTTCTCAGGCATTAATCTGAGAAATTCCACAGATCATTTCACAGAAAAAAAACATCTCCTTGATATTCAGGGCACTCTAATTAATTGAATTCCCAGAAATTCAATGCAAATTCATAGGTTATTAACCAAAACACATTAATGTCCAATAGATTAGAAAAAAAAACAAAATTCAAGAAAGCCAGAAATAATATAAAAGGAGAAAACAAGAGAGCAAACTGTAAAATTTTTAAGAACACATTCAAGAAACCAGAGAATACAAGAAATCCATTAATTCACTAAAAATCACCCAAGTTTTTTTTAAAAGCAATTAAGAAGACCAATAATAGAGAGAAGAAAAGTAAACAGAAAACACACCTGCAAGTGCTTGGCTCTAACATAAGGGGTATCACCAGAAGGGACCTTGTGTATAACATGGTAGAGATCTGTCTTTGGCGCCATTGTTCCTTCTCTCTCTCTCTCTCTCTCTAAATTCACATTCCTTTGCCCTAACTCAATCTAGATTTATGCACTGTCATGATTTATGAGCATTTTCTCTAACTAAAATGCACCTGGACTCGAACGCGTCCAGGTTCGATGAGGGCCGGCTATTGGTCCACCAGCTCCTTCGTGGACTGCCATGTGGACGTGACTGGTCGGCCCGTACGTAGCGTCTCGCCACGTCGGGAACTCATGACGTGGCACCCGTTGCCTTTCCTAATGGATAATGGATCTCGGTGGAGCTTGTGCCTTTTGACAGAAATACCCCTCTATTTCGGAGGGTTTGGAAATCACCGGTCCGGATCAGATTCAAAGGGTGGGTTGTCTATCTTAGTACTTACTCATATATATATATATATATATATATATATATATTATTTTATCTAGTTTTAAGGGATAAGCGGGTTTGCAATCTTAGTACTTACCCCATAAGATTTTGTTTTTGCTATTTGTAAGGGATTGTATGTAACGAAACTATTTACCTTTGTACAGGGAGGTCACAATTATCGACAACCATCCAATGTGAAATCTAAATGTGGTTAATGAAATAAATGTAGCTGCCCAATTTCACATCTAATAGTCAAGATTAATTATGACCATCTTATACTAAAGGTAAATGATCTCATTATATACTTTCCCTATTTTTAAATATGGGTGTGGTTTCTATAAGATTGCAACCTTAAACAATCCAATTAAGGCTCACCTCCAAATTTTATCATGTAATTTTGGTGTAAAACATTTTTAGGATTATCTGAAAA